ACGGGGGCCGCGAGCTCCTCTGCAGCCCGGTGTAGCCCTCCCGCGAGAGGGTTCCTGTCCTTTGTCCTCCAGGAGCTGGGAACGGGCGCCCTGGCGCTGCTGGGGGCTTTCCGGCCGTAATTATGTGCATCCCTATCTGTCTATAGGTCATATATAGACATCCATATATAAGCGTTATCTTTGGGGTTCACGCTGTGCCTCAGCATATTTAAGCATTTCCGGGGCGAATAAGGAGGCAAAACAAATGAAAGCCCCCGACCCCCAGTTTTCCCCGCAGGAGTAAGTTCCAACACCACTATGGAATCAGGTAACCTGATGTGAATTCCATCTTGCCGTCTTACTGCCTGTGACCTTAACCACATTTCTTTACCACTTTGATTTCTTCAGCTTTATAATAGGGATAATACTAGCTACTAGTGGCTGATTTGAGTTAACATACACATAGACTTAAAAATTTTTGATTTACTCTAGGGTTGGCTTGTGTTTTTAAAGAAACAGAGGTCTCACTTTGTTTCCTATTGATGGCTGTGAATGGGGCTAAAGTCAATCCTCCTGCCTCAGCCTCCCTAGTAGCTGGGACAGTAGACATGTACCACCATGCTCAGGCCCTGAGATGACAAGAATTTCAGTATCCATCAAGCTTTGGTACACTGTTGGAGCTAAATTGGAGTAAGTTGGGCCTGAGTTTAACTCCTCCCTTTCTCTGTGCTTTGCAAAGTGAGTTTAGGAGTGAAATGCCCAAAGGCAGGAAATATAAAAACAGAAGTAATCAGACTGGGAGAAGTAGGACTAATCCGCACTGAATCATGACCCCAGAGAGGCAATGATGACCACTTTCTCTGAGTTCATGTCATCTCAGCACCACGGGCCCAGCTACACAGGCACTGCGCTCAGAACTATGGGCTTCAGAGGTGACTAAAGCCCTCTCTCCCTCAGGCGCTATAATTGAAAGAGAAGGTGGAGTGCCCTGCATACCCGCTGCCCTTGAATCCTGGGCGGTGCTACCTCAACAAGCTATCTTTTACTCCCTGCTTCATCTAAACCAGTGTCCATGATCACATGGTGAAAGATGGGCCAGGATCACAATTTGGCCTTAGAGAAGACGTTAGAGCTGATCTAGCAATTGCATGCCATGCCAGGGGCGAGGTGATTGTCTCTATTCTTCCTCCATACCCTACAGCTGCTCCCTAGTGCTCTCACCAGGCGTGTGGAAGTCATCATTTGGCAAACAAAACTAAATCCTTGGTACAGTGAGGTCGCTTGCTGTGGGATTTTCCTGTCTTCAAGGAGGCTTCCTCGTTGCCATGGAGACAGTGGGTGTTAGACTATGTCCATTTATAACTTCTTGGTTCTACTCTTGTTCTCTTGTTTTTCTTTTTTTTTTTTTTTTTCCTGGAATCGAATTCAGGACCTTGTGCTTGCCAGGCAGGCGTTTGTGCCACTGAGCTATATCCCCGGCCCCGCTCTACTCTTGTTCTCTTCTCCTCTTTTCTAACACCAAGCCCTGGAAGGCTCTGGCTTCTGCTTCCTCTCCCACCCCGGTTGTGCCTCCTCCCTCTTCCCCACCTGCCACCATCCAGACCACCTGGTCTGGGCACAGCCAATGCACACTCGAGAGCACGTGCCCGGCAGGCTCTCCCCTCAAGCTCCCACGTGGCACCTTTCCATCTTTCGGGTCTGACCTCTTCAAAGAGGAACTTCCTGACGATTTTTTTCTTTTTGAGAAAGGGCCTCGATATGTCATTCAGGCTGGTCTTGAACTCACTGTGGAGCCCAGGCTGGCCTCAAACTCATGCTGATCCTCCTGCCTCAGCCTCTTGAGTGCTGGTACTATACCTCAAGGAGACACTGTTCTCCTTGTGCAGTGTCTTTCCTGAGAGTTGCCATCATGTCATCCAGCTCTTTCTGCCTGGAGGTAAATATGGTTTGCTCCAATGCACTTTGCTTAGTTGGATTATCCTGTTTTTTGTTGTCTCTAAATACATTCCGACTGGGAACCTTCTTATCACCCACATTACTGCTGCCACCATGGTACCCCTCTCTCCTCAGGAGTGAGCAGGAGGTTAGGACCTGGCAAAGCTGGCTGGGGAAGTGGGTGGCCCAGCAGTTCCTGAAGCTCT